GGTGGGGTGTAGCTGTAACTTCTTTAGGAACTGAAGATCAGAGTCCATCGATGGTGTTGGACTTGCCTTGGTTACCAGGATAGTGTGTGTTCCTCGCACCTCCTCCTCTGCAGACTCTCCAGGAAGCCAAATTAAACCAACCCTGATCTCCTCCACCCACAGGTGTAGTTCGAGCCTCCAGCATCTTTCCCATTCTCAGCGCCATCCTGCTCTTGCTGGGTGGAGTCTGTGTTGCGTCCAGCGGCTTCTACAAGAGTAAGAGGAACATGATTCTGGGCGGAGGGATTCTCTTCGTGGCTGCAGGTGAGTCTGGAACCTTCTTCTACTTCTAAAGGTGACGTTCAGCTGCTTCAGGCGGTTCTTTCACATCCTTTCAGGCCTCAGCAACATCATCGGAGTCATCGTGTACATTTCTGCGGCATTGAGCGACATCTCCCCAAAAAAGGACGAAGATAAGAAGTGGCACTACTCCTACGGCTGGTCCTTCTACTTTGGCGGCCTGTCCTTCATCCTCGCTGAGATGGTCGGTGTTCTTGCCGTCAACATCTACATCGAGAAAAACAAAGAGCTGCGTTGCCGCTCCCGCACTGACCTCTTTAAGAGCACCACCCATGCCATGCTACGACTTCCCAGCTATCGTTTCAGGCGGAGGTCCAGGTCCAGCTCCAGATCTACTGATCCACAAGGCTCCCAAGAGACCTCACCAGTTGGCACATCTAAGACCTTCACCCTGCCACCCTCAGCTCCACCCTTCTCTGTTGCCACTCTTCCTAACCCACACCACACGAACAGCAGTGGAGGTGGAGGTGGAGACATCTCCATGTACTCACTGTCCAGGGACTCAAAGCTGGGAAGCCTTGGTGCTGGAGCTCCACCTCTCTATGGTACAGTCGATCGAGCCACGCTCTACAAGCTCCATAACTACTTCCCAAAAGAATCCAGTGGAAGCGGAGGAGGAGGAGGAGGAGGAACAGGAACGCTACCTTCGCACTCTAAATCCAACCTAGCAGCAGCAGCAGCAGCGGTGACCCAGAACACAGCTCCTCTGAACACTTCCACTCCGTCAGCCGCTGGCAGTCAGCCATCCACTGCCACCATGGAGAGAGACAGGACCAACGTGGGAACGCTGGACCGCCTGACGGCCAAAAGAGAACGGGACAGTAACTCAGACACACTCAACAGGAAAACCACCCCAGTGTGAAGCGGAGGAGGAGGTTGAAGGCCCGGGTGGAGGAGCTTCGTTAAGATTAGTCGGTACCACTGTCACTTCCCCTCACCACAAACAGTTTTCAAACATCTTCCTTACCTCAGAGTTTCCAGTTACCAGTTATCAGTTACCAGTGACCTAATTTTGAAGGTTCTCTGACTCTAACCCTAAAATCAAAGGAACCTCGGCCCAGTCTCAGAGGGGGCTTATATGGTGCAGGTGTATCACAACCATGAGGGGGCAACGTTGTGTTGCTGGTGGGGTGTGTTAGTTTATTTAAACTGGGGAGGATGGAGAAGAGGGAGGGAGGGTCAGAGTGGGTGTTTCCGTATGGTTCTACTTCCTGAAAGTAGAATCCAGTAGATGTACTTTGAAGAGGGAGGAACATCGTGGAACCTTGCGTGGTCTGACATCACGGTGTCTCTGCTCAGATGAGGGCAGTAAATACATGACCTTTGACCTTCCTTACAGTGTGTTAAGAATCACTGTTTTAATATTAGAACCACTGGGTCCTGGACCAGTACCACACTCTGGACAGGTACCAGGCCTTGTAGACCAACTTGAAAAGTATTTTCAAATTAAAAGTTTTTTTTTGTAGTGCGTCTTTAGTAAGGTCCAAATGTCACAGAGGAGTTCCATTTACAGTTCCAGTTAAAGAACAGTTCTATCACCACAGTGAATATGCGCTGTTGATTCATCTGTTGCCTTTGATGCTCATGACTTTGACCTTGATTAGTCCTACCTATTTATTTTGAAATGTTCACCCTGCGTCCCCACCCTGTGACTCAGGTCTGAGCAGCAGACAAGGTTGTGACCTTTGATTTAAAAGACGTTTTCTCTTGTTTCCTGGGGGACCGGGGGGGGGGCGGGGGGGGTGACGTCAGTAATGATGATGTCATGTAACTAATGTCATGTGTGCAACATGTTCCTTAACAGTGAAAGTAAAAATATATATTGTTCTCTTTTTCCTCCAAGTTAAAAGATTATTTGACTTTTATTTTTTCTCTAGATCAACACAAAAGACCAACTTACAATTAATAATATATATAATAATTAATTAATAATAATTTGGTTGGTTGGCCTAAAGATGGCAAAAAAGAGTCACAACAGCCAATGCACATGTACTGAGAAAGTGACCTCCCTTGGTCTAAAGAGGTGTGGACCTACCTACACCTGACAGTGTAGACCTCTAGGGGGCGCCCAAAGGAATAGGACACAGCCTTTAGCCATTAGTGTTTGACCTTAGTGGCCATGTTGTTCAACTGCAGGGGCTGCTAGGGTCAAACATCAATGTGGCCTTTTTGTTAGCTGTTGCTACAATACAGTACTGCTACAACTGATGCTAGCTACTGCTACAGGGGTCGTTAGCTACTGCAAGCATAACTGTTAGCTCCCACTAGTGTTAATTACAAACTACTATGGTTTACTACTATATTTTGCTATTGTGGATGTTTGTGGGTACTACACTAACTGCTAGCTGCTGAAATGGTGGCTGCAAGGGGGCGCTACAGTGGATTTAAGCTGACAGAGATTGCTCTTAGCTATACACTGCTGTTAGCCAAAGGTGCTGTTTTAGACATTCTGTCTGGAGGAATTTTAGCTATATTTAAATTTCACCTGGTCATTTTTATTCTCTCTAATATGACGATGACGACGACGATGGCGGTGATGATGATGATGATGATGATTATGATGATGATTCACTCAGATTTTCGGGTTCCTAACATCTCTGTTGGTTCAAACGTTGGTTCCTGACAGAACAAACTGAACGGTGTTGAATAAACACAACGTGCAGGAAGTTATTGCAGTAATCCTCAGTGGAACACTCTTCTTCATCCGGTGTCAACCTGTTCTCAGTGTCGCCCCCTGTTTTTCAAGAAAAGAAATGTGAAAAAAGGACATATTTTGAGCTGGTGGTGAATATTTTAGCTTCATCCTCCACATCACAAACGTGATGGTTTTTATCTCACTACGTCACCGCCTTGTGGCTGTCATCTTACCACAAAGTTCTTTATCCTGAGTGAATGGATTTTCATCTCCTGTGAGTTTGATGACTCACTTCATCTTGGAGACATTTTTAAACTACCTTCTCCTTCTGTCTGCACCTCCTGCTCCAACTGTCTCCTCGGCCTCAGGCCGTCAGCGGTGGAGAGAGCAAAGATAAAGGCTTCAGGGGGACCGACAGACGGACGGAGGCTGGAGGGGAAATGTGTCAGTGGAGATTATTTTCAAATCCTCCCACGATGAGGAAACCTTGATTTGTAAAGAATTCAAACATCAGAGGAGGTGCAGGAACTGATGGTTCCTGCTGGTTTTAGAACCATTAGAAGTTAGATCCTAAACCCCGACTGGGTTAGACTTGGTCCTAGTGGGTAGGGAGCCCCATGTCCAGGAGGATCCAGCAGGTTAGGGCTAACCTGTTAGTGTTAGCCTGTTAGCTGTTTTTCCCGGTTTTTTGAACTGAGACGTCAGTTGGTTAAACCAAGGTGACATTTTCAAACCGTCTGTTCAACTGAAGAGAAAAATGACAGGATTAAAGTCAATGTTTCACACTGTGTTTTATTGAGTCATTTTGTAGAAATATTTTCATTAACATTTTTCTTCAATTCAACCCAATGATGTTTGCTTCATTTTTTCTTATAAATCAACTTTTTTCATTCTCTCTCTCTCTCTCACACACACACACGTTTATAGACACAGAGAGAACACCAACATATAATAATGAAAATAATACTAATGTCAAGTGTTTGTGAAAGAAGCCAACAGTTCCTCACAGACCTGATGAAGATAAGACCAGACACAAAGTTAGTCATTGTGTTTTTTGTTTGTTTGTTTTGTTTGTTTCCTAAACAGATTGCAGCTGGATCACAGACAGAAACAGAAGCATGTAGGTTCAACTCCCAGGATTACCACAGTCTATGGTTCCTGACATTTATGATGTCTTATGGTTTTATTTTTTGTTCCAGTATTTAAGATCATGTATTTCCTGGAGAATTATATATAAAAAATCATCTACAAATTAATGACAATAAGGTTCTATGTTTTGTTGCAACCTGTTTGAGGAACAGTGTAATTCCACCTCTAACCACTAGCTGGGGCTGTCTTTGTGAGTGAGACACTTCATCCAGGGACTGAATGGCAGAGCCAGCAGCAGGAAGAGGACGCCACCTATGATAAGGACAGCGCCAGCGCAGCCGATACAGGACACGGACCAGGAGAGTTGATGATGGAGAGGAACTGTGTGGTCACTGGAGAGGAGGAGCAGGACCGATTGATGGAAGACCAACAAGGAGAGGAGGACCAGGAATCCTGGGGAGACAGAGGAGCAGGATGATGGAGCGTCATCAAAGTGCCGCCAGGAGATGGCGATGTTCTCACCTGACAGGATGAAGCAGACAGACGCTGGTTTCAGGAAGAAGAGAACTTCTCTGCTGATGGACATGGAGATGCAGATTGCTCCCATCACCATCAGGAAGAGGCTAAAGAGAGCCAACATGGCTGCCGCTACGTTCAGATCTGGACAAAGAAGAAAGGAGTGAGGAGACGCTGACAATCTCATCTCTGCTTCTGAATTCTGGGGGAGTTGGTTCTGGAGGAAAGTTCTAGTATCTGATGGTCAGGTGAAATCAGTGCAGAGACAAAGAAACACAGAGTGGACGAAGAGGAGACAAAGACATTCAGACAGGAGGATGACTAGAGACGCTAAAGGAGGAGCAGCAGGAGGAGGAGCTGGTGTGACTCACTCTTCTGTGTCGTCTTGTGGAACATCACAGCGTCTTCTCCTGTGGTGAAAAACTTGAAGTAGGAGCAGTTTGATTCTGAGGAGGAAACAAGAAGAGGAGGAGGTGACAACAAACATCACACAGAACTGAACCAGAACACCATCATCACATGGTCCTGATCAGAGCTGGTACCACACGATCACACACTGGTCTGGTCCAGTCTGGTCCACAAACACAGCCATCCATCAGCCATCACACCAGGTGGGGTGTTTAGCGTCACCTCCTGGCAGCTCAGCAGGTCCACAGCTCTCTCTCTCTGGGTCAATGTCGCTCACCCACAGAGTCTTGGTGCAGCCCTTCCATAGACCGTAGTGGGTGGTCAAACATGTCTGTGGAACCAGGAACAGAACAAGAAGAGAAGGTTCTTCAGCTTTGAAGAACTCTTGTCTAGGACCAATAGTTCTTGGTACTTTTAGGAATATTTCCATGGTGTAATTCCAGAAATACTGCTAACTTAGTTAGTGCAGTTTACCTGGTTGTTGTAAAAACTCTTGGGCGGGGCCAGCTCCACCCAGAACTCTGTCCCCACTCCGAGCACAGTCAAAACCACCCCCACGATGGCAACAAAAAAAGCCAACTTGATCTGGAGACACAACATAGTCCAAGAACTAAAGATTCATTTAGATTCAAAACCAGAACCAGAACCACAATGGTTCTCAAACATCAGTACTTCAGTTAGTTACCCCTGTCCATCGCCTCTCTACCCCCTCTCTCCCCCCGCCCCCCTCTTTACCCACACTCTGCACCACCTCTTCCCCCTCTCGTCACCTTTCCCTCCTGAGCTTCACTCATACTGTTTCCTGTGGAGGTCGTCCTGCGTCGCTTGGTTCCTCCAAATGTGCTGCGTCCACTCATCAGACCGGCCAACGTCTGGACCGATGCTCCAGGGGCGGAGCCCGCCACAGTTCCTGAGGCAGCAGGCACCACGGTGTGTCCGTCCTCATCGGTCATGAAGAAAGCCGACCACATTTGGACAAAGTTCAACACAGTGATGGGATGTCCAGCAGCAGATCTTGGGGGGTGAGGGATGAGGGGAAGAGGGGGGGGGGGGGGGGGGACATAAGTTCTCACAGTTTTCATTGAAACTTCAGTGTTTCCTTCAACATCCATAACTACAAGTTTCACTCAGCCCTCTTAGCTTTTCTTAGCCTTTTAGCTACCTGTTAGCCTTTCACTGTTAGCTTGTCTGAATTCAACAGTATTTATTGTAGCTTCATTAGGCTTCATTTGGCATTTAAAGACAAATATTAACAACAAAGTGATTATGATAATAAAGCACGATTAGCTCCTACTACTGCTGCTGCTGCTGCTGCTACTGCTGCTGCTGTTACTTCTGCTGCTGCTGTTACTGCTGGTGCTGTTACTGCTGCTGCTTCTGCTGTTACTGCTGCTGCCGCTGCTACTACTGCTGCTTTTTCTGCTGTTACTGCTGCTGCCGCTGCTACTACTGCTGCTTTTACTGCTGTTACTGCTGCTGCCGCTGCTACTACTGCTGCTTTTTCTGCTGTTTCTTCTGCTGCTGCTGCTTCTGCTGCTGCTGCTTCTGCTGCTGCTGCTGTTGCTGCTACTGCTGCCGCTGTTACTGCTGCTGCTGTTGCTGTTACTGCTGCTGCTACAGCTGTCGTTACTGCTGCTGCTGTTACTTCTGCTGCTGCTGTTACTGCTGTTACTGCTGTTACTGCTGCTGTTACTGTTACTGCTGTTACTGCTGTTACTGCTGTTACTGCTGCTGCCGCTGCTACTACTGCTGCTTTTACTGCTGTTCCTGCTGCTGCTGCTACTACTGCTGCTGTTACTGCTGCTTCTGTTGCTGTTACTGCTGCTGCTATTACTGCATAGGTTTTAACTTATTATTAGCCTGAGCATCAGACATCTGAAAAACCAAAAAATATATGTAGTAAGAACACAGCAGCAGGAGCAGCAGGAGCAGTCTAGTGTAAAGTATAAAGTCCGGTTCTTACTCATTAGATGGAGACGACTCCTTCTCCTCCTTCTCCTCCTTCACCTACTTCTCCTCCTCCCATTGGACACAGAGGACAAATGGCAGCAAAGCACGATGAAGGAGGTGGTGAGGAGGCCGTCTGTCGAGCTGCTGCACCGGGTCTCTGAAGAGAACCTGATCTGTGTGTGTGTTAAGGTGTGTGTGACCCCTTCAGTGTGTGTGTGTGTGTGTGTGTGTGTGTGTGTGTGTGTGCGTTTATGTGTGTGTGTGTGGTCACACTGTTTCCAAAAATAATCCAATAGCAGAAGAGTTCCTGTATCTTTATAGACCTCCACTCCAGCAGCAGGAGCAGCAGGAGCAGCAGGAGCAGCAGTCAGGGCAGATCCATTACACCCCCTCCCCCCGCCCCCCTAAACCTAACCCACTAATGTACTACAGCACATGTGGAAATTATTTTCATTATCTACAAACACAGAACATGTATAACCCTCCCAGCAGGGGTCCTTCCTGAGCCAAAGCCACTGGGCTCTTCTGGTGCCACAGCACAGAGCTCCATGTTTTATGTGGCTGTACACTGCCAACACTGTCTGTGTCTGTGTGTGTGCGTGTGTGTGTGTGTCATGGCTGCGTCTAGTTTTGTCCCCCACCTGTTAATGACACTAAAGCCGGCCCTGGAGACTAGTCCTGGATCAGACTCCTGTCTGACTGTTGCTGCCGTGTGCTGAGTGAAGAGGACAGAGTGCAGTCACTGATTGGATGAGGATGAGGTCATGTGGTTAGAAGTTGGCAGTGTAAATGTTGTAAATGGTGAAGGGTGTAGTGTTGGACTGGAACAACTCCAAAGAACAAATCCAAAGACACTGACGAAGCTCACTTTTAGCTTTAACTAGCAAAGTATGTAGCAAATGAAAAGAAAACAAAATATATATTTCATTGGAGCGCACACATGTTCAGTTTTACTTTTGTTTTAGAGTTATAGAGATGGATATATTTTTTGGCCTGTGCTACATCAAAGACTGGTTCAAAGCCCAGTTCAAGGCAGATGTTGGTTTTTAATCTCACTTTAAACCAGGGGTCTTCAAGGACCTGAAACTGATGAGTTAAAACGTTTCCGAAAAAATAACTAAAAAATGTCCAATTATGAAAAAAAAAACATAATGACTCCCACGAAGTACCACTGGAGATCCTCTAGAGGAGGTCTGCTTTAAGGCTGGGACAGTGCATGTTTGTGCAGAGAGAGAGTGAAGCTAATCCAGATTATCTGATCCTTCTAAAGCTGATCAGAGACTGAGAGGACGAACAGCTCGGACTCTTCAGACCTGCAGGTAAGACTTCTTCAACTGTTCAACTCATTTTAGATAAAGCTATTTTATATTTGATAGTGATCATGTGACATGACACCCGTCATGTGATCAATGACCACCTTATTAGCAGAACTAATATCGGAGTTGTTCACATTTTCTTAGCTCCTTGTGTGTGTCGTCTTTCACACACACACTACAGTGTGTGTTCACATTAGTAGCGTTTTTGACAAGGGCTACAAACAGACGATGGTTAAACACCAGGGGAGGCTAGAGCTCCTAAAAGCTGTTAGTGCTGCAAAGACCAAATATTTGTTTCACATTTAGTTAACTAACATATGTGACACAACCATGCAGCAAAAATACCAACAAAAAGCTAGCAATGCAAAAATAGTTAAAAGTTAGCACAGACATGGCTAATTGATAACAGACCTTTAATTGTTTGTCATTTTATGGAAATGACAAGCAGAGATAACAGAGAGTTACCAAACTGTTCAAGGACCTGTCTGTAGTTTCCAGGATTCACTTGGGAATATTTCTCCGCACTATTTTCTTTTATTAGTTATCTATCCTGCATGGAAAATGAACCGAGTTCTAGTACTAGTACTGGTCTAGCCTTTGATAGTACTCAGTGATGTTAGTGGGTTAATGTTACTGCAGAGGAACTAACGTTTGTTACAAGTCCCAGCAGTAGCATCTCCTGACTTTTGACCCCTGCTCAGGCACATGTTGGTCTTCATCCACACATGCCACAACATTGGCCTTACTTCAGGTTGAAGGGCGGGTCAAGTTTCTTAGGCAGAACCTGGAACCTGCAGCCAAGTCCTCATTAAAGAGCATTGAAGCCAACCAATCCTATTAGTCCATGAACCTGACCAAGTGGAGGAGGAGGAGGAAGAAGACAAGGATAAGGATAAGTTCCTGTCGTTGGTTCTGCTGCCACTAAAGAAGCACTTTGTTCATGTTAACCTCATGCTCATGCCATGTCATCTGTATTTTTACCATTAGAGGTGAAAGAGATGTGGAGGGCTGAAAGGTTTGTTCTCCAGTCAATGTAGATCCTCTCCGTGGTCTGGACACTGAGGTGTCTCCTGGTTTTACATGTCTTTTCCTGTCATGTCCTCCAGGTTTGATCACTTCCCTTCCGATGGGTGACATCACCTGGTGGGAGGGAGTCCCAAATCTCACCCTTAAACACACACCAAGGGGACCTCTTTTATCTGTCTGTGGCGTCTGTTAAGAAGAGGACCTCGTGTGACACCTCAAGGTCAACATAAAGGACAAATATCCTGCGAGTTTGGCACCACCCACTGGGTCTCTTTGGAATATCACCTTGACAGTGTCAGGACATGTTTTACTCTGATAGCTTCCAGTCTATCCTCACTTTTCAAACTCCCCCGGTCATTGTGGAAGCAGAGCTAAAGTCTGGGAGGTGCGTGTTGTTTGTATAAGGTTAAGTTGGACTCTGATCCAGTATGTTGATAGGCGTCAGTCCCCTCAGATTGTGCGTTCTTTGTTTTGTAATTTTTTACTACTTCCTGTCTTGTGCCACGGCCACAGGAGCTTTGCCTGGTATAGATTTCAGTTATGGGATTAGCCCAAAATTTGTCTGCACTCCAATTCCCCCAGAGGCAGATCCAAGCTGCTACTCTCCACCTACTGTGCCCCATGGACCCAGCAGTTCCACCCACAGTGATGGAAACTGGCGAGGGATGATGTCAGATGAAGCTAAAGCCACCATTCTACACCTACGAGAAAGTCTGGTCAGACAGAAGGAGACTATCCTGGACCAAAGAGAAACCATCAGGGAGCTGACGGCCAAGCTAACAGTGTGTGAAGGCTTTGGTGGCCACCATAGCCCTGGTCACCACAACAGTCATCACGATGATCACCGTGACAATCATGAAGGGCATCACAGCAGCCACCACACCACCTTCTCTCACCATGGTCCTTCAAGCTATCACAGCAAAGACCATTACACGCCCCACAACAGCCACAGGTCGGACCCCCACCACAGGAAGAACCCTTCTCTCAGTAAACAGGGTTCCTTCTCCCTAGAGCAGACCAGTAAGATGCTGCAGACACTGAAGGAGCGGCTGGAGAGCCTACAGGTGAGTCTTCATAACTGACAGGTCCAGTGTGTTTGTGTCTCATGGTATGGTTCTCTCTGGACTCTGACAGAGGATTTTCTGAAACACTGAGGTGTTAATGTCAAACCACAATCCTGGAATCCCGCACTCAAGAAAAACAGCAAAAAACTATGTCAGTCAACTGGTATCGAACAGATCTTCAGACTCTGTCCTGGTCTTTAGTACACTCTCACTGGATTAGAGTTAGTAGGCCTCTGTTATAAAATTACAAATCAGATTCAATGGTTGACGAACAGTAGACGAAGAGACATCGTCATCAAAACAGGGATGACCTCGTTAGTCTAACTTCATGAGGTAATTTCCTGCGTCACTGCTGGTCATGAAGAGCTGAGCCACAGAGAGCTGCCAGGAAAATCCTTCCAACTGGGCTTTCTGAGACATTCTCTGTTTAAGCCACAGGTCACTGACCTTTACCACAGACCACTATATGGTCAGGGCCCTCAGAGAAAATGAATGAAATTAGAGTAATATGTGATTCATCTTTCCCTGCAGCACAGACAGTAATGATCCATGTCTTGATTACTACAAATATGTTGTAAATATAGCTTTATATCATTGGCTAAGACCTGCTCAAGCAGGATGCTGCCTTAATTAGATTAGACCTCAGATCCGACCTCAGAACTGGGTCCAAGTTTGATTCCCATGAGAGGAAGTTTTAGGAAAACAGGACAGTGGAGAAGGACAATTAAAGTTCTGTTCTAAATTTAATCCACATGAGATTAGGAAACAAACCCAAGACTTCACTTACAACAAATGCTGCTTACTTCCAAATGCCCAGCTTGTGGAACTAACCCTTGATTGGGAACCACAAATGTTTTATTTAATTTTTCCAGAGCTCCTGATTTAGTCCAACACCACAGGCAGGGAATAAGAAGCCCAGATAAACAGCTTAGTGCTGAACCAGGTGACAGGTGGCGTCATTTGTCACTTCACTTTTTTACCTCCTGAACATATAGATGGGGCATCAGTGCGCCAGCAACTTTGGTGTTTTGTTCATGATTGTATTTTTCTGTTTTCAGGCAAGAAACTCCTCCAGCTCCTACTCCAGCTCCTTGAAGGAACTTCTGGAGCGGAAAATCAGCACTCTGGAAGAACAGCTGCACGCCTACTACAGAGATCACCGGGAAAACAGTCACCATGATGACCAGCATGGAGGTCACAGCGTCGATGCTCACCATAGTTCTAGTCAACTTACTAACAACCGGCATGACAGCCACAGCTACAACCACAATCAGCACAGCAGCAGCCAACGCAACAACCATCACAGCAGTTACTATGACCGCCGTCATGAACATGACCATAACCTTCGCTACAACCGACACCAAGGACACCACCACAGTCCTCTTGACGACCACTATGATGACCATCACAGTGAACATCATGACAACCACCATGAACATGGCCACCATGGTGACCATCATAATAATCACCATGACGACTACCATCGTGATGACCACCATAATGACCACCATGAAACCAGTCATGACAACCATCAAGACAGCCATCATGGCAACTATGACCAACCTGTTCCAGGGGAAGGGCATAAAAAGCTGGAAACAGTTCTGGGTCATCTTCACTACAATAACCATGGTAACAGCACAGGTCATGTTGTCTGAAGTGTTTCTGACAAGCAGCTGGTCATTTGAGCGAAAATCACTGATTTTCTCTATGGACTTTGGTTTGTGACCTTAATGACTGAAATTCTCTGTAAGATTCTGTGGATCTCAGCTGGTTTAACCTTTTTTGACGTTGTCCGTGTTAATGTGTTTAGTTCTATTTTTAAAGAATCTACGTTACCCCACAGGAGGCCACAGGAAGCAGAGGACTTCCAGCTCCTTCCTGCTGGACTTTCCCATGCGAACCAACTACATGTACGGCAGGATGAAGAAGAAGTTGCTGAAGGAGATCTTCGCTCTGACCATCTGTCTTAGGATGAAGGCGGGGGCAGAGTCTGGTCTGGGTACGCCCTTCTCCTACGCTGTCCCAGGTCAATCCAATGAGCTGGTGCTGATGGAGTGGAGCAGCGACCCGCTACAGCTGCTGGTCAACAATGAGGTACAGAAGAAAAAGGATTGGATTAAAATACAAAAAGCCATTGAACATGGAACCCTAGCGCCCTCTTTTTCACTATGTCTTAATTCAGGTGTTTGGCTAAGCTACTAGCATGTTCAGGTATCTTTGCTGTTCTTTTTGACATATTTCAACAGTTATTTCTAAACTTTAAGTTCTCTACTCTAGTGTTTGTTGCTACATTTGAAGTTACTCCCTAACACTAGTTGTGATGTGAACTGGTTTCTCTTCATCTGTTTTTAAAGGCAGCAACACTTCCTGTCACATTGACAGACCAAAGGTGGCATCACATGTGTGTGACGTGGTCGACTGGTGACGGTGCATGGGAAGTTTTTCAGGATGGAGAAAAGAAAGGTTCAGGACAAAACCTGTCAGCCTGGCACACCATCAGACCAGGGGGAATCTTCATCCTTGGTCAGGAGCAGGTGAGGAGAAGGACGAGTAGCCTTTTAATCTAGAAACTGAATTTTCCAACCCAATCCCTTTCTCACACCAAATTCTAGAAAGAAAAAAGGTAATTGTAGATCAAAGAGCTGGTGATCCACTGCTGCCTCTTGTGGTCACTTTGTGTCACTGTGGTAAATCTAAACAAAGTAGTGAAGTCTTAAAATAACACATTTGTATTAAATAATATAACTATGTTATTGAGTCCTTTTTTCCTCTCACAATGGGGAAATTCATAGACAGTCCACCCACGTGGGCAGGAGGCTAAGTATGTGGTGCGACTCACGGGCTGCCACAAGGAAACTGCCATTAGGGATAAGCGGTTCCTTTGGGGCTCAAACCCAGCACTCCCAGGACACTTGATGCAAATGTGTAAAGCAGACGTACTAACCACAAAATTGCTGTTTTGCTCTATGGACTTTGGTCTGAGCTAAAATCACTGATTTTCTGTACAAAGTTTGGTCTGGGAGAATGGCAAGAGCTTAAGATGTGAATCTGTCCCGAATCATAGACTTGTCAAAGTCTAAATATCTTGGATAAGCTCAACAACTTTAGAAACTTTCAAACTTGAAGTATCATGTGACCTATATAGTCTACACTATATTCCATGTGTGTAAATAACTGTGATCGCAGACACTTCAGTTGGTAATAACAGTGTAACAAGTGTGTCACGGCTGACTTGCCTCAGTTTTGGACATTTATGCTACATGTCTCCTCTCTCAGGACATCATGGGTGGACACTTCGATGTGACTCAGTCCTTCTCTGGTGAAATGGCTGATCTTCAGTTTTGGTCCACAGTCCTTACTCCAGACCAGATCCGGAGCCAGGCCTCCTGTGCTGGACACCTCTTGGGTGATGTCTTGTCCTGGTCCCAAGAGTCAGTAGAGCTGCTCGGTGGACTGAGACAGTTCCCATTTGAACCTTGCCACTGAGAGGCGACACTAAGTTCATGCTGTGTGAGGATCAATGGAGTCAAGTTTGGAGAATGTGATCTTGACCAGGATTTTTGTCCAATGAACGCTGACCTCCTCCTCCTGCTCTTATGTTTATTGTTCTCCATCCTCACATGTTGCTAACCCCCCCCCCTCTAAAAAAGACCAACCATCTGACTTTATCTTGGCCAAATGAAGTATACTACAGGCTGGTCTAGAATTGGCCTTCACCTGGTCTGGTCTGGCCTGGTCTGGTTTGACTTGGTCATATCTGTATGTATATTTCAAACCAGACATTTCATAGATATTTCAAACAAGCTAAGACCAATCACATGACAGAGAAATACACACACACAGACACACACACATACACACTACTGTATTCAGATTCTACGTTAACTCTACTAAAGTTCAGGTTTCTGGTTTAATGTTTATAAATTAGTAATAAATACTTCAAAAGTATGGTTTGTCGTGTGTAATATTGACACCATGACTGAAAACCTGATACAGCAGCTCCTGAGGACGGTCTGAACCAGTGGACTGAACCAGACTTCAAACTGAAGTGACTGTTTCCTGGTGTCCGTCACCAGGACAGAGTAGCCCAAACCGGCCGGACAAGCACCCAGCTGCAAGGAACAGATGAGGGACACCACAGCCCCCCCGACCCACGGAGATCGCCAAGGAACAACGGAGACCGACAAGCACCCACTCACAGCGATCACCCACCGGCACTGACATAAATTAAAACCCTTTAAGAAAATAGATCCGCCTCTCGCTGTGATTATGGGTCAGGACAGAGGTTCAAGTCACCGATGTAACTTACGTAAATGGTGTTGTCTGAATTATTTTTACGAAAAACCATTGTCTAAATATTCCTCAACAGTACTTGTGTTGACGTCACCAGTGGACATGCTAATATACAGTATTTCCAGAAATCATGGCTGTAATATTGCTTGTTGCTTTTTTTATTGCTTTTTTGTGCAAAACACTGTCAGAGCCGAGTGTCTTTTTAATTTCAGTCCAAAATAATTAGGTTAAAACTAATTTAATATTAAGCAGATAGACTTCTAGCTTTATGTTTATTCATAATTACCATAGTCGATATTTTCAAATCTCACGGCTTCAGTCCACCAAGTCTTAGATTGATTACAGACCGACTGCTTTGTTTGAAAAGTGTCCAAAAAATAAAAGAAATTAGATTGTTAAAAACGTTTATTTTGCTCCTGGTGCAACTTCCACATCATTCTAGGTGTGTTGTCCCGGGGGGGTTGTTTTTTTCCTGAGTGAGGGACTTTTCTTCCCAACTGTTAGTACAATAATAACAATGCAGAACTCTTTATTAAGTCAATTCTATATTATAAAAAGTCAAAGTCAAATCCCTAAAGTCTCATTGTTCCACTGTAATATTGTCTTGTTCTGTTGTTATTAACAGAGGTGTTAAAACTTCTGACTATCTCTGTTTCCACTGTAAACACAACTGTGCTAACACTGACACTGTCCAGCCGGACCAAACAATAAAAACTAACAGTTCACAGACACTCAGCTGAACTACTGACACAACAAGAGACTATAATACACAACAACAATAAGAAAAAGGCATTCAAAAAACTGTAAAACCTGCTGAAGTAGAGTCTGACTGCGTATTTTCCAACGCTCCTGAAGTAGCATGTGAGGAGTGGGACCTGGAGAGAGCCCTGATTGGCCACCCTGGGTTGGGGTCTGTGTTTATTGGCAGACTGACACCAAGGGACATGGTCCGATTGGTGAATGGAAGATAGAGGGAGGGGTGGTGGTGGGGTGGTCTGTTGTCAATCACATCAATATTGTCAGTTATTCTGTGTTTCAAATGCTGCCATGGAAAAAACAGATGTTCAATACGTCATCTTCAAACGGACATTTTCTTATTGATGTGAAACATTTTTACTTCCTGTCACTCCAACTGTCTGATTTTAGTTGGGTCATTGAAGTGGATCCTGTAGTTTTTTAGGTTTTGGTCAAATGCTACCATCTAGTGGGCACATTTTTAATGCGTCTTCAAGCAGCCATACTTACAGTATATAAATGTATGTACAGCGTTCCCTCTCTATATTGGTCCTCCTTTCGCTCCCTCTCGGATTTCTTTTTAAATCCGTTCCGTGGAAGTTTCGCTATATCACGTTTTTTTACGGGAAATTTAATTTCCAATATTTTCATGATACAAAATTTAAAATTTAACGTCCTACGATTTTATTTTTAGTTCTTAGTGTAGTGAAGGTTGTACAAACATCTCAGTTAGCCTCACCATCTCATTAGCCCCTCCCTCAGTCCCTCCCTACGCCCCTCCCCCTTATCCAGGTGTAGTATATAAGGCCTCCAAATCGCTCAGTTCTCTCTCTGTCTGCTCCCTGGGGAGGTTGTCTGTGCTGGTTCAGGTAGGGGATATGCTGGTTCCTCTCTTTTGTTCTTTTATGTGATAGATTTGTGCCCTTCCTTCCATTTTATGTGTGTTTTGACCAACTTCCTCTTTTGTTTGGCCTG